GGAGAATGTCAGATGTGCATAACTGTGTCAATCTTAATTTGTGACTATTCTAGCTCAGTCTTGGGCTTGGTCTTGGGTTCATGCTCTGTCTCATGCAGTTCCTTGAAATGGAAATAGATGATTCACAAGCCCAAGAAGCACAATCAATGGGAGTATTGCAAACTGTAATTTTATTGACACTGAGAACCATGTTTAAATTATTGCAGATTTTTAAAATTTATTATTAACTCATGTGTAAAACCTATAGGTACTAATAAACAATTACGTAACAGAGATGTTCAAAGAATCTGGTCATGAATTAGCAGTGTAATACTTACACAGGTAGCTTGGAGAGTATAAAGACTCTTTCAAACTGAAACCGAAGTTGACATCTGCATCAGTAAAGCCATCATAAGCATAAACATCAAAGGGAATGAACAGTTTCATGTCAGCCTGAGGTACCTGCAGTTTTGCAAGGTTATTCTGTGTGTCTGCTGTTTGCAGCGACTTTATTTCTTGTGGTCTGCAAGTTGGGTAAGACAAACTGGGGCACAGCTTCACCATAGCAGCAGACAGTTCCTGGGGTGAAATGTAAAAGAAACAGTAATTTGGAAATTCAAAAAGGGGAATGGAGCAAATCCATTTTGGAACTTACTCAATACAACAAATATTAGACACCACATTCGGATATGCAATATACGTAAATCGCGTTGTAACCTAACCTATAAATCCGTTAGATTGCTTCCAAAACTTCGTGTTAATCTTTCCTCACTATTAGTTTTAAAGAAATGGAGAGGTTCGAACAATAGGGAAAGGATTTGATTTGCTCTTCTAATAAATATAATTAAAAAAAATAATTCGGTTTCTCGGCTATTCAGCCATTCGATCATAAAACGATTGAATTCATTCGATTGTTTTTAAAGTAACTGCATTATTCGATAGTTCCGCCCCAACCGATTTATTAGAGTTTTCATTCGGTTGTGTTGGGAACAATTTCTAGTTGTGTCCATTATTATTTTCAGTGTTGGTTATGTTGTGTAATGTACTTTCTGGAGTTTTCTCTGTAAGTGGCATTCATTACGCCAACTTAAATTTGTGATTTAACTATACATAATCAATGTGAACTGCAATTGGCACAAAGGAAAGAAGTCCCTGATAAGTGCGCATGACCTTGGGCATTACTTCTAGCGCAGTGCCCGTGTGTATTCACGTTCGTGTGCAGTGTGTGTGGTGATAAGTGAATTCAATTTATCATTTATGATCGCTATATTCTTGTCACCTTTTGACTTCCACCACAGTAAAACATCTGGACTACTTTTTCGTGTTGTGCATTGGTAATCCCTAATAAGTAGCAACTATCTTCTGGAGCTGCAAGATGTGCTACGCTTGAACATCGGGAAAGGTGCAAAGGTAAGTTACACACTCATGCAAGGCTGAAATATGTCGCTCTGCTTAGATTAAGTATACGGAATAAAAACAGTTAATGAATAATTTTGTTCCGCGTAATGGTAAAACTTAAACTTAGTTGACCAAACCACTACAGAATGCTTACCTGAAAGCTAACATAACGCAACTGAACCGAACGTTCACTTATATCAGTTCATACACATTAATAGCTAGATGATAAGTGCAAAGAAGAAAATTTAAAAAGATGTGGGCTATAAGTGTCAAGTGACTAGGGGAAACTCGTATTTTTTTAACTTTCTCCACCCAGTAATACAAAAAAGACACTTCCTTGAATTTCTGAGGTGAAATGTAAATAACCACCCCACCCCCTCCCGTCTTTACTGCAGCCATGAGCCAGGAAGTGACAATTGCATTCTAGTTTATGAGTGAATGACATTGTACAGATTATGTAGTGTGGGAATCTCTACACTATCACTGTTAACACTGCTTGTTAGGGAAATTGGAGGTCCTTTACCACTTTTACAAGAGCCTCCTACTGGACCCAATTCTTCAGCACGCTGAATTCAGACCACATTCTACTCCTTAAGATCCAATTTAATATTATGTCCCATTTACACATGCATCTCCAAAGTGGCCTCTTTCATTCAGGTTATCTGTTCTTAAAAGTTGTATATTTTGAAATATGATGTTTAATTTGAAAGTTAATATTTGATTGTACCCATGTTTCTCTCATCAGCAAAACTTGTAATGTATGTACAGTCATATTAGTGCTACTGGTTGCAGATAATTAAAGCAATAATATTGCATGTGTGGACATGAGATTTTAACAAATTACACAAAACCCAACAGTTTGTTTTTAAGTTATCAGGTAGACAAATGGACACGGTGACTGGTTTAATCAAAATAATTAGGAAAGTAGACTAGCAAATGTGTGTGTGGCAACATGGTGGAGATACATAACCTATTTACCTCACAAAATTCTATCGATGTAAGGAATCATAAAAAGTGAAGCTGACTTACACTTAGAGAAGATTTGGTAATATCATTCAGTTTATGAGGCAAAGTTGCTCCATCATAGACAAGCAGAGCTTCCTGATGAAGATTTTTACATTGATCATGTCCTCTGACCATTATCCAGTATGACGACGATGGCTGATCAGCATTTAAAACTATGTCATACCGCTCACCTAAAAAAATATATACAGAATTAGAAGCAAATTTAAAATGCTGTTGCTATAATTTTTTATATTATTGTTGTGATAACATTTAACTGTATGAACAGATCTTTCAGCAACGAAATGTATACTCGACGACAGAACAAGGTCAAGACTGCCAGTCATAAATGACAAATAAACATGAATTGATAAAATAATACTCGACACTAGACGCTGTACCTCCTTTCCTACAAGGTGTGAAGCAGGGTAGCTTTATTTTACTTTATGTTTCATATTCCATATATTATATGTTTTATTGGAAAGTTTCTTACATCTTTGTGATACTGCTGTGTTCTGACTTTATTGTCGAATTGGTTTCGTGTCGAGTTAATATATTTATTGATGATGATAATGAGATCCATACCTGGAAATAATAGCAGATGTGAAGCATCTGTGGATTTCACTGGTGCTCCATCAGATGCAATGATCATCAGTCTATGGCCCTCCACCTGAAGTTGTACTGGGCAGTCCAGAGGTGCAGCATTTATGACACGAAAACGGTATCGGCCACCCCGCTTCACTGCAAATCTAGTTTTTGGCATCTGGCTTCCTGGTTTTGAATCTGGATTCTGTTTTGATAGATACAAAATTTGAATTACAGTATTAATTGATTATGGCGACAGATGATCTTTGCTTCAACACAATCGATCTACGAGCAAGATATATCGCTTTAAAGCCGCTCCTTCTGCCACATCTTAGTGAGAGTTTAACCTAATCATTTGCATTTTCCTGCAAAATTAATGTGAAAATATCATACGGCACATGTTGATATTGGACACTGGTTAACGTCGCCTCAGCCCAGAGATCGGCTATCCTGACTGGGTTTTTTCGTGGTTCTTCTCAGTCTCTCCAGACAAATTCCATATCCTTCCCAATTCATTATTTGCTATCATCCTCTCATTCTACATTATAGTCTGAGCTACTGAAAAAGCACTGTTAAATATGTAAGATTTGAGGTTTTCCCAGCGGTGAGTATGCAGATTTCTATCTTCTGGGTTGTTTCGCTGTGTAGTCTGGTCGAGGTTAACCAACGTTTCAGAGGGCATACTGCCTCCATCATCAGGGCGATGAGTATGAAGATTTCTGTCTTCTGGGTTGTTGCGCTGTGTCGTCTGGTAGATGTTTACCAACGTTTCGGAGGTCATACTGCCTCCGTCATCAGGGCGAGGAAGATTTCTGTCTTTTGGGTTGTTGCGCTGTGTCGTCTGGTAGATGTTTACCAACGTTTCGGAGGTCATACTGCCTCCGTCATCAGGGCGAGGAAGATTTCTGTCTTTTGGGTTGTTGCGCTGTGTCGTCTGGTAGATGTTTACCAACGTTTCGGAGGTCATACTGCCTCCGTCATCAGGGCGAGGAAGATTTCTGTCTTTTGGGTTGTTGCGCTGTGTCGTCTGGTAGATGTTTACCAACGTTTCGGAGGTCATACTGCCTCCGTCATCAGGGCGAAATCTTCATTGTTAAATAAACTATAAATCAATAAATAAGAGATCCCAGCACTGGCATGTAACTGTATATGTCTCTAGGGAAATGTATTCACTCGCTTGGCAGAAGTATTTGAGATGGAAGACGAAACTGTAAAGCCTTCCATTAAAATTATTTGACCATGCCATAGCTCAAGCAGTTAGTAGCCCTCTCACCACAGATACCCAGGTTCATGCCCAGGCCAGTCCATGTAGGATTTGTGGTGGACAATGTGACACTGAGTAAGGTTTTTGTCTGATTCCTTCTGTTTTCCTTTATCGATATCATTCACAGTCCAGGATACAGCTACGAAATATATCCTTCATAATGTGCAAAAGCATACGTTCTCAGAACATGGGTTGAACTTGCAAGGAACAACTGAGGATTAATTTTGTTTTTAATCATTCTAACAAATTTTGTGGCTGTAAAATGTGACTGCTTGAAAGTCTAAATAGTTAATTTATTGGATAACAGGTATCACAAACTTATAAAAAAATGTAGATATTTATTTCGTAATCTTCGAATTCGTTTTCTACAGTTTTGAACAGAAAGTGAAGGACTGTGTAAGTGGCTCAGTAAAATACACGTAAAAATACTCACAAAGTAAGTTCCCTTTCCATTGATAAGTATTGAAGATAAGTGCATATTCTCTGGCAAGTTAAGGTTGTAAACAAATGCGTAGCGTGACCAAGCAGAGATAGTCACGATGTGTTCTTCAAGATCATAATCGTAGAGGTCAGAGTTGGGATCAAGTCGGGGAGTCTGCCTCACGATGAAGGGGCCGAATATTCCATCTGCATGGTGAGAAACTGCAAGAAAATATATTTATCCATACATAACAGTGATACAGTTGCTTAACCAAATTAGAAAACAAAACAAAGCTACTTTTATTCTTAGATTAGTCGTGTGCTGAGTCAGAGGTTAGATGAAGGGTATAATAATTTGATACTTGTTCAATGTTTAACGCACCTCGTGGGGTAGAGTAATGATTGTCAGGAGAAACCCACAGAACTCTGAGAAAAACCTGGTCTTTTGTCATTTCGTCCACCATAATCTCTCTTGAAATTACATTTGGATTAAATCGGGCCACCCAAATGGCATTTAACCCAGGTCGTCCATGAAGAGAAACTGATCTGAACAGATATTATTCTGATATTTACATTTTCTTGGGTCTACACATTAGATTTCAAATATTTTCAAGATCGCCGTCAAAATGATCCTGTCATTTTTCATATCTCTACAGCTGATATATCATAATTAAAGAAATTGAGAAAAATATATAATTTATCTATATTTCTACAGTTTCTTGACTGAATAATAAATCAATATAACATTTGAGATATGACGTTCTCGCAATTATGAGTATTAAGATGACGTTTCAGAGGTCCTTGCTGTTTCCATCATCAGCGCAAACACTCTGAAACGTCGATAAATTTCCACCAGACTATGTGGCGCAACAAGCGACAGTACGACATTTACTCAATAGGCGACACTTGGAGAATTTAGTTCAATGGGTCAGTTTTTATGCACGAAGGGAAAAAACAGATGACTGTTATTTATATATGTATTTTATCGTGCAGTTCAAGCACAAAGGAAACAATGGAGAAAATAGGCTAAATGAAAGAACGAAGCTAATGTTTAAACATAAATACTATGAATAGCATTTCACACCATTTTGACAACGAGGTTGCATTTTAAACAGTGATGCATTAATAGGGTACACTTCCTGTAAGGAAAACATAGATAGAAGGTGTTTTAAAACAGGGTACTAAGGAGAATATTTTAACATAAGGAATAGGAAGTAAACGTAGGAATGAGAAACATAACGAAAAACTTCATTATTTGTGCCAGTACCAGTAATCTCAAATAAATATCGAAGTTATCAAATCAAGAAAAATTAGATGGACGATACATTTCGTGCACCTGGAAGACATGAGAAACGTACACAATATTTTGTTCAGGAAATCTGAAAAGGGATGAGACTAGATGAAAGGATAATATTAAAATATATAATAAAGAAATAGGGTTTGAAGTTGTGGGCTATATTAAAATTGCTCGGGTTAGAGTCTAGTTGTGGTCTCCTTTGAAAAAGGACTCTACGTCTTCCATCTTGATTTTATCATCTTAATATCAGTGCTTTATTTGTTACTTACCATAATGAGAGTGGTAGAAGTGGGTTCCAGGGTTTGAAGCCCGAAACTTGTACCGAAAATTCGTCTCGCTCTGTATGGGACACTGCGTAATCATTGGGACTCCGTCCATGTACGGAGTTCCTCGCTGGAGTTGCCCGTACCAATGCAGGGCTGTCTCTAGGCCGGGCAGATGGCTCTCGACATCCACGACGACAGTGTCGCCCTCACAAACCTGCAACACAGTTCGGAAACCCCTTCCGTTTACTCATGTGGTATTATCCCTTTGAAGCCCACTGGTGACTACATGTACCATCTGCTTTAAGAGTCACCAAATCTGTATTTTGTGTTAAGGGGTTTCGTACAATTCAGATAAACAGCGATTATTTCCTTAAACAACATTAACCAGTTAATCTTTGCAATGGTGAAGTGTTGTTTTCTTTGCGGTACGAAGTGAATAATTAAATATTATTTAGACTCGTTTCGTCTTATTGCATCCATTGGTGAAGTAACTAAGAAGCAGTTTGCACGCAATGAAGTCTTCTCCGGGTGATACTGAGTAAACAACAGACACGCCTTTGACAGTTAAGATCGATATGATGACTGACAAACATTGGTCGATTTAAAATATATATAATAAAATTCAGGTCAATACACAAAACTATATTTGGATGTTAAAATTTAAAATTTAAATGTGTTTAAAATTTTAAATTTGCGCTATTCATCACTATAAGGATGTTACATTAGAGCGCTCTAATGTAACATCCTTATAGTGATGAATAGCGCAAATTTAAAATTTTAAACACATTTAAATTTTAAATTTTAACATCCAAATATAGTTTTGTGTATTGACCTGAATTTTATTATATATATTTTAATCAAAAACACAAACATGACGCATGAAAACATTAAAATTGGTCGATTTATTCTGCGGTGCTTTCAATAACTCAGATTAAAGCGTCGAATATTAGGATCATAATGGAAGGAAGTGGTCCCAGCCTAATTTTAAGTATTATCCTGACATTTGCCTGTAAAAAAAATTGTCAGGATAGTAATTCTCTCGGCTGAGATTTGAATCCGGGTCCTCCCGAATACAAGGCAAGAGCAGCATGAAAAATTGAATGATTGGTCGAAACATATTAACGTGAAAACTGCATTTTAAATGGAGATGATAGAGGAAGTTTTGAAAAAAAAATTAAATTTTTAAGACTTGTATTGGATTAGAGTTTCTTTGTGATGTGAAGGTGTCGATATTCATCCGTAACGCTGGTATCTACCTACGAGTCCATAAGGCGTTAACCCAGAAGAGCATTATTGACATTTATGCGTTTTTTTAAGCACAGAATATATGGTCAAGTATGATTCAAAGACGATTCCTCACAGAAAGTTCGAATAAATTCCTTGTCGGTTTCATCTTAGATACAAACATTTCCCTGAGCATACCTGTAAATTACCTTCTTCCATTGAAACAACATATTACGTTTCACAGTCAAACAGGACTACTAACGCACGTTAAACTTACACACGGGGTTCCTGAATATTCAGTTCACTAAAGTAATAAACCGTTGTACTGTTTGCTTTTGTCATCGAAGTCTGTTTCGGTTAAGGAATCCTACTAAATAACATTGCTAATTTGTCTTTCTCTTCCCACTCCCCTCCATTTCAAGTGAAATGGCGTCTGAAGTCGTGTTTCTGTGTATCCTTGCCGTTTGAATGTGCAACGTAATCCAGTACGAGACATTAAAATTGCGTTAACGAGGCTGGTAGTAGAATTCTCTACGGCCAGAAACCACGTGACTTCACATAAAAGTGTGAAGTACTAAATGAAGCTATTCTTTTTCGTGAAACGCAGACATTTATTGTGGATGAGTGACAGTGACATTACGGTATGAAAATTTGAACAACTTTCGCGTGACTCGAGGCTAAAGAACTCGCTCCTGATCGGTTTAACTCTTTAATATCTAGTGGTAACTATATATACCACCAGATTTCACACAATCAGTATGTACTGGAGATATTAACGTAAATTCTTTTTGTTTTTCATAGTGCCTATATCCGCCATTTTTATTGGCTGAACATGAAATTGGGCGTGTACGTCAGTCAATATGACAGGCTCGGCGTAATTGCCGGAAGAGACAGGTATTTTTTCTTTTCGTAGCCACATTTGGACTGGCTCCGGTTCAAGCCAGGTGTTGCTAAACCCCAGGACAAGCGGTCGGGGAATTAACTTGAAGTTTACTTCCACTTCCGTATGTCTTTATGGCGTGTTTATAAACAACGTTAATGTAAATGTTGATACTACTCTGCTCATAAAACTCAGAAGAGCAGATTTAACCCTTTGAAGCCTAGAGAGAGAGAGAGTTGGTTTGAGGCTACGAAGGTTCCCAGGCATTGCCCGCTCGTCCTTCTGGTATGAATAGGTTTAGTAAGGGCAAGGGATTTAGGAGACAGGATGGGGTAAGAAATGGATCAGGGTCTTTGCGTTAATTTTGAATTTTGATATTGGCCTTGGAATGGCGGCGTTTTGGAAAAGATTTACGTTAATGTGGGGGGGGGGGGCTACTATAGAGCGGAATTTTGATGTTAACACTGGGAGGGCTGCATTAGAGACAGAGCAACGTGGAATTTGGGTACCAACTCAACATTTGCTCTAGGACCGAGGAAAACCACGGAAAACCTTGGTCGAGTTGGCCGGTCGCAGGACCTTCCGGATGCGTACTGACTTCTAGCCAGCAGTCAGGCATTTAGAATCGCGAGCCCTAACGGTAGCCTCTCTCTGTGTGCTTCCTTTATTAACAAATTTTATACTTTTTTTATACATAGATATGTTTTGGATAGGAAATGATCCACTTGGTTCGTTGCCCATCCAATTACAAAAAGGTTTACAAATCCGTTATCACTTATCCATTTTCTTACTATGGTCGTCTGGTGCCCTTTGGATCACTGCCGATCCAGCGTAGGGGATTGGTATATGTGATCATGTATGGATTTGACCCTCGGGGGAACCCAAAACTGACTGGTGGTGCTCTGTAGTGGGATGTTTAGTTCCTATTTGTGGGGGTGAGGGTTATTTGAAGATGTGCTGTTAGGTTAATGTTTCAGAGCAATGTACTATATAGGCACTCCTCTGACCATTTGTTGAGCAAAAGGATTTGTTTATTCCGCAGGTTAGGTTACGTTGCAAGAAGGGATCGGGGGCGGAGGTATTTATCACAGCTGGGATCGTACTGAACTAGTTCTTGAATTTGGCTGTTGTAGCTGGTGGCCGATTTTGTGTATAGCCTATTCGCTAGTCTACGCTGGTCTAAACAATATATAAGAATTTAGTCCGTACCGCAAAGAAAACATAACTCTTCACCATTACAAGGATGAGTTGGTTAATCCTGTTTAAAGAAAAAATCGCTGTTTACAATGAGAATCGTGGAACCTATTGAACGAAGAGTTAATGACGGTTATTTAAGAAATGGAGAAACGAGAAGTGAATGAGCCTACCTGGACAGCGGTTCCTGGCAGTTTCCTGTTCACAGACAGCATTATCCTCTGCACCCCATCTCCAAGAACACAGTGTCGCTCCACACATTCGGTTTCATTGGCCGGGCATTTTGAACATCCTCTAGAGAGACACAGGCATTAAAGTAAGGATATAGAACAGGCAGTATATATGTTACCGTTAACGTGTATATTTACGTTATTTTGTAAAACACCCAGGAATTTCATATATTAAACTGCTCAAAGTTAAAGTGTGCAATAAGGACATTCCGTTATTGTTTGAGGGCAATTAATATGTAAAATAATGAGGTATTCACTAGGTACGTCATATATTAACTGAAGTTAGGTCAGATTACATAATACAAGCAACAAATCTTACATGTCAAATTAATTGAACTTTACTAAATCTAACCTAACATAACGTCGACATTGCGGACAACATATTTAAATACTTTATCTAGCTAAAATGTAGAAACCATAACTTCGTTTTACAAATTAACTGCTTTCGATTATCTATTCCATTCTACCTTGTCCGATTGGTTAGTATATATCAAACTAATTGCTCGCGCCCGGTTGACGGAGGCAACAAGAACCTCCAAAATTTCGGTAGACTTCTTCCAGACTTCTTCCAGACTGCATGGCACAACAACGCATAAGACAGTCTTCATATTCGCGGCCTTTATAACTTAAGATATCACACAGAGTAGGTTAGTTTATCAGAATGTCTTACCTGTCAACTGTAGGGACCGTCTCCAGCACAAATTTGAAGTGGCATTCTTTAGCCTTCTCTCCATCCAAACAAGGCCGAGAACAGTCTCTTGACTTCTCTGCACATAACATTGAATGCATACGATTTAAATCCGTAGAGAAATATCCTTAATGTGAAGCTGATAATATTTAAATTCTATAATCAGAAAATTCATTACCGCCTTTAAAAGAGCCTGCTATTAGACATGCTTCTCTGGAAGATCAATCCAGTCCACACCATCTGACCCCTGTTCTAACTTATTTACAGCAACCTGTTAATGGATCACATCCACAGGCAGATGAATACAATCCAATTTTGCCACCCAAGAACCTCCATGTGGTCTCTTATATTCAGGTTTTCTAACATTGACTTCTAATAAATTTGAGGAATTCGTTACGAAATTTATTAAACAAATTTCCGTAGATTTTTGAATAGTCGTGATCAATCAGGGTGTCATTCTGTTGAATGTGTCACTCACCCAGCTGCTCCACATGTTCGCCACCGCGACTCATCCTTACTGCAGTCGACCTGATGGAGACAGGAGGCCAGTTCAGCATGAGAAACGTCCCAGCAAGCAGGAGTAACGCCGTCACGTTAGGCAACACCAGTAGCAGTGGCCCTCGTGGCTTCCAGCACCTCGCGCCCATTCTAAAAAATTTTGTTTCTGTGTTATCGGGAAGTTCGGAGTCCGTATTGTATTCAAGGTACATTAACGCCATTGAGTGGAATTTTAGAAAAGCTGATAGTCGTACGACTGGCGAATTCGTCGCCTTTGGTAAGACCCAAATTGTTTATCACGATGTTCACAAAAGAACCAGGTGCTGAGCCAGTTGAATCAAGCCCACGACTTCAACAGCCTGTTTCTTTAACACAGTTTGTATCATGATTCCATCTATGCCTTTGTCTTCTAAGTTGTGTCTTCCTTCAAGATTTTCACACTAAAGTGTATCCACTTTTTTCTGTCCTATTTTCTGAGCATCTCATCTTCCGTGGCTTAATAACAATAATAATATTTGTTCAGGAACGCGAATTATGAAGCTCAATATCACGTAATTTTCTCTTGCCTCCTTTCTGTCAGGCGTACCCTCTTATGAGTGTTCTTCCCGTAGAGTGAGAGATTAAATTTCACATCATTGCAGAAAAGCAGATTCCACCACAGTTTGGATTTTATCTGCAAGTGTTGTACAGGAGACATAAATGATTTGAATTTAATTGTAGTAAGCATTTTCCGAATTAATTTCTTCGTAAATGTAATTTTTACTTGTTACTGTCGTTCAAAAATATTTCCTATGGATTTATTAGCTTGAATTTTATCGTTCGTTCCGGTAACAAGACATGACTGGTAAATGTAAGCATTCATTAATGAAATGAGTGGGGGTGGGGTTTTTTTTAGTGACCGTGTCGACCGCGGTACTTGAGACAAATACGGAAGTAAAGTGGCCTTCTTGGTTTTTCGTTGTCAAGTAATTAACATAGCCGGGATTACGGGAAACCCGCCAACATCCAATTAATAACTTTTTTTATAAATATGACAGACATGCAAATTTTATGAAACTTTCCCTTCCTGTTGGTATAAAACTTGAAGTTTTCGATCTGTAGTTCCGGGTACAGTTTATGACCACTCTGATCTCTACCCTCCTGGCTAGGGTAAAGACAGGAACCTATATTTATGTCCGTTCTTTGGAAAAATACATTAAAATATCGTGTTCATCTCTGCACTTCCAAATTTAGTCTTTGAAACTACTGAATGGATTTTGAGTACATTTTATAGTCCTTAAGATTCCAAACTATTTAAAAGCCTCTTCAATATACCTTTTATGTTTAGATAGACCTGGAAACAAATCATTATTTTTAAAGTTTTCGATCTGGTATCCTCCCTGTATTTAGCGAAATGTTTCATAACCTTACATTGTGTCACTCTGTCGCTTAGGCTTCTTAAGTTCGTACGACCGCCATTTTGTTATTATCGATTGTGGGAAATTAAAAATTACAGTTTGGAGTGACCGCAAATGATTTCAAAGTCCTTACAATATTTAATCAAAATCTGACAGACAGACAAACCCTGTATGAGTTAGCGTTATACACACCTCGAGCCAAATTTTACGACAGTGCCTTAAAATAGGCCAAGACCACTGCCTTCCGTATTCTTCCCAATTCGCTTAAAATTACCCTTCAAATATAGGCTATAAAAATGCAGTTCAGAAAGTGTCGTTAAATAATTTAAGAAATAAAGAAAGTTAAGCGACTGCTAAGTTTTACTTTTGCTGAAGTTGATTACAGTGTAGAGAAATTAATAAGAAAATGTGTACAAACACGAGAATCGCCATGACTTTGCTTTATATACAAATGCATAAGATGACTCGTGATTTTAGCGTGACAACAGCCGAAGCAGATGGCAAGATAAAGCTGAAACTAGAGATGTCAATGGAAATTGTGAAAGTTCATGTCATCAAGGGTAAAATGCAGCTTAGAAATTTAATATGGTTTGCGACAAAACTTCTAAGAACTAATAGCATGGCCAACAGGAAGTATTTACTTACTGATACATAATTTGTAAGTGGTTTAAGTAAGAAAATAATTTAAATTGCTTTTTTGAGAAAGTTCAGATCTTCAGGTGCCTATCGACTTCCTTTACTGTACCTACAAAAGGATGTGACAAAATCGAGTGGTAAATATATGTACCACGTGCTTTAGCCATCAATAATTCGACATCAATTTCGTATGGATCTCGCTGTGAACAGGGATTATTTCCTTAAACAGGGTTAATCAGCTGATCTGTGTAATGGTGAAGTGTAGTGTTCTCTTTGCGGTATGGACTGAACTATTAAATATTCAGGCGAACTTCAGCTTTGAACGGTTAATATGTCTTCCAGATTATTAATTAGAGTTTGTGTGAATGCCAAACCCGAATTAATTATTAATAATGCAATTAAAATGCATTTTTATATCTATAAAGCATGCTCGGTCAGTGAGAGAAAAATAATTTACTCAGTTCGAATAATAATAACGTTATGAAGATTTCTGTCTTCTGGGTTGTCGCGCCGTGTAGTATGGTCGGACGTAACAGAGAGATGGGACGTGAGGTTCTCAAGGCGGTGAAGATGTCGACGGGTTTTGTTCTGGGTTGTAGTGCCATGTGGAGTTTTAGGATACCAACGTTTCGAAGGATCATAATGATCACTGAAGATGGAGGCAGTATATTCCTTAAAAACGTTCGTATCTATCTCATAGCGATACAACCCCGAAGACCAACTTTGAAATGCGTGAAGAACTGCCTCGTACTTCGAATAAGAAGGACTGGGAATTCAAATTAGTCTGAATTAGTCTGAAAAACTAAAAGACCAAGACGTATATTGGAGAATAATATTAAAATGGAACTTAAGGATATAGGGTGTGAGAGTATGAACTGAATTGCACAGCCCAGTCTGTGGTCCACTACTGAGCTTTTGTGAACATTGTAATGAACCTTTGGGTTTCATAAATGGCGAGAAACACTCAATTGACTTTGATACGAGCGAAAAGTTACTTAATTCAGCTCTATTTATAGAACCTTGAGGTTCATTACCGTGTAAACAAGAGCTCGACGTTGGGCCCTATTGAACCAGTCAAATCCTATCGAAACCCTCGGCCCTTTTTGACTGCGATCCGTTATAATATCATCCATTGAACGCATGGTTACCGAAAATGGCGTTCATTCCCTTATATTTTACGACTAAAACTCACGCATTCTACTTGCCACACCGCGTACTGTTCTTTATTTGAAGACCCTAACAAAATTGCAGATTACGATGTTACTCATTACACAGTTTTTTGCGATATGCAAGGAATCTACAGGTTAGAAGGCAGCAACCGACTTACCTGCTGAGGAAGTTTTGGTGAGCTGCAGTATCACGCAACCGGCCGCCAGGAAGCCTTGAACTGCACTGAAGTTGGTTAGAGAAAGTCACGGCGCTCGTGAGTTGGTCACTGAACACGGCTAGTAGGTCGTCAACTCCATGCGATATGCTCGGCGTTTTTGACCTCGGTTCTTTCACACACGAGCGACGTAATTTTGCAGAGTGGCATCGGTTATGGTTGCTGTTGAGCAGTTTCTTTGTGTTTGATTTTTTTATTTCTGGTTTCTAGTCGTAAATATGAACAAGTTCCATGGAGCTGTTAGACAATCTGACAGTAAAGAAAGTTTCGGGAATTATGGAACCCGAAGTTTCGTTAAAATAAAAACTTGGCCAAACTCGATTGACGAGATACAACAGGATTTCTCTATTGTTATCCGGCCCACCCGCTAAATACTGTAAAAATATTCGTATACAGCAATCAGGACGTCAACAGTCCTGATAAAGTGTTGAAATCATTACAATACGAATCTTAAGATTTAGAAAAAGGCGCAGAACCCACAACTTGCATTACTTTCCTAACATCGTCTTTAAGTTTGACGACTGTAACTCAGTTTAAAGCAAAATACCGGAAGGTGTCATTGATTTTAACACTATTTCCTAGTCTAAATTTTCACGGTGTAGTAGCTTATTCGTACTTAATTGACTAAACTACATAAAAATTTAAATCATTTCTGTTTATGAACACTTTGCTGGCTGATGGGTACCAGTACTTTCGAGGGACCTTTGCTGAATGGATTTGCTGACAGCCCATCTGCTGATCATTACTGTAAATGGATTTCACGATTTTTTGAAAGGGGAATACAGGCAACTCTCGGCTTACGAACGAGTTCCGTTCCAAGACGTTGTTCGTTATGTGTATCTTGCATTCCTGAGCTTTTACGATACGTATCGTATACGTTAGCAGCCATTTTAAAGCATTAAAACCACGTACTAAACATCGAATGATCTATACAATACGTGTTACTACTTAAAGATTAAATGCGTCATGTTTGTGTTTTATAATTAAAATATATAATATAATTCAGGTCTATACACAAACTTTATTTACAGATGTTAAAATTTAAAATTTAAAATTTGCGCTATTCATCGTTACTACGATGTTACAATATTGCGCCTTCATTTACTACATGTTTCGATGCGTAGCATCATCTTCAGGTTTTTCCTTTAAAACTACTTTATATTACAATGCAAGTTTTTCAATTTATTCATCTGTTACTACTATTTCGATTTGTGCCCATGATCGCATAAATTTTTAAAATACGAGGTGCGATCGGAAAGTTTCAAGACTGTGTCAATAGAGGGCGAACCGGATGTAGTACGAGCTTCTGCCGCTAGGGGGTGCGGCCTACATTCATAGTAAATCAGTG